GTCTCTGCAAGACAGACTTTTCAGGATAGGAGATGGACTAAAAATTAACTCCCAAAACTTACTGCAACATGGAGCTATGGAGAAAATGTAGAACTTGAAAAATTGGAAAAACATCTTGGTAAAAAGCGCTTACAGTATAAAAGCAAATAGTAAAAGTCCTATTTTTTTATTTATTTTCTTTATATTTTTTTTACAGATTTGCACATGTACAAGGTTTAAAATGCTCATGAAATATTTTCACTTTGTACAAATAATTTTTTTATTAATACTAATTTCATATGATTGGTAACCTATTTGTCTTATTCTACTTCTTATTATATTGTTTTAAATAGAAATTTTAAAAAGCTTATAAATATAAATTTTTGAATTTGACATAGATGAAAAAGATACCATTACAAAGGTAAAAAGAAAATACCCCTGTAAGTCACTTTGTCAAATGTTACCTCATATTAGGTGTAAATAATTTTTTATTATTGATTATTGATTTTTTATTATTTTAAAGTAGGAGGACAAGCGCTCCTAATTACAAGAAGAAGAAAAAATGCTTTTAAACTGTGTGTGTGACAGGTATGGCTGTGGATTTACCATGTTATTACAACATTTAGCCACTTTTTATTAATTTAAAAATTGAGAAATTCTTTCAAATTTAAATCTTATACAAGAACTACAGCAAAAATCAGTTTGATGCATATTTTATATTTTAGAAATTGAATTTTATTTATCACCAGTACCGACTTTCACCAGTACTGACTTTCATTAAATTCCTTTGAACACAACTGCTCAAAACGGTCTAAATTTATGAAATTACAAGAAGAAGAAAAAATGCTTTTAAACTGTGTGTGTGACAGGTATGGCTGTGGAATGGGGTTTGGCTGAGGAAAGATTTTCAGTCAAAAGATTTTTTTATGTTTTTGCTTTAACCCGTTTATGGCGCTATTTCAAAAATTGTCCTATATGTTCTGTCAAAGCCAGAACGAAATGGCACTAATGATTGGGGGTGGAGATGGGGAGCGCGAAAAAAAAAAAAACCGTGTGTTGACGCGCAGCCTAGAGACCTGAGCGGGACAGTTTTCTTAAGCCCACTCCCCCTGAATTTCTGACCATTACCGCCCACTCCCCCAACGTGTGTGTCACGCTCCCGCAAACATTCTTATTGTCTTATTGTATATATTGCATCAACGAAAATAGTTCCAAACATAGTAACAGCTGAGCCGCTGCGCATCTCTAAAAGCAAACACAGTCGAGTTTCATCCTTGAATCTGGTGTTCATGAAAGAGTGGGAACCCTGTATACATTGACAAGGCCATCCATACATTTTGGGAAAACAAGCGCATATAAATTTGTTCAATCAGTTATAGTTGCACCAGTGCTAAAACAGTGTGTTAAAACAGTTTAGTATTGGTGTCTTCTAACAACATATGCTATTGTGTTCAAATATGAAAAAAAGGTTATTGCAGGTGTTATTTTGGTCATATTCTCTTAACAAGCCAAGTAAAACCAGATAGGAAATCAAAATTATGTGAAATTATCAAAACACATGATGCAGCAAAAACACATCAAATCAGGACATATTTGACATTTAAAGGAACACTCCACTATTTTTGAAAATAGGCTCATTTTCCAACTCCCCTGGAATCTGTACTAAGACCGACGGAAAATGAAATGATATTACGCAGCACCTGAAAATAGGCTAACTTCCGTCAACATAACCAACATGACCACCTGCTTGCACAGGGAGCGTGCTGCGGACTATTTTCAGGCGCTGCGTAATATCATTGCGCCTGCTGCACCCATGGTACGGCAGCAAAGTTCCTTGATTATTACGCTGTAATGAAAGTCGTTAGCATCTCGCTCAAAAATGACCAAAGAGTTTCTATATTTTTAAACTCTATTTAAAACTTGACTTCTGTAGTTACATCTTGTACTAAGACCGACGGAAAATGAAATATTACGCAGCGCCTGAAAATAGGCTAACTTCCGTCAACATAACCAACATGACCACCTGCTTGCACAGGGAGTGTGCTGGCGACTATTTTCAGGCGCTGTGTAATATCATTGCGCCTGCTGCACCCATGGTACGGCAGCAAAGTTCCTTGATTATTACGCCGGAATGAGAGTATAGTTCCTAGCCATATCGGCCTAGAAAATCACAACTTTTCATTTTCTGTCAGTCTTAGTACACGATGTAACGACAGAAGAGTCAAGTTTTAAATAGGAAAAATATAGAACCTCTTTGGTAATTTTTGAGCGAGATGCTAACGGTCTAATCAGATTCAATGATCTATGCTAAGCTACAGCTAAAAGTGCTACCGCCAGACCCGGAGATCGGCTGAATGGATTCGAAAACGGTAAAACTCAACTGTTTAACTCTAGGGGAGTTGGAAAATGAGCCTATTTTCAAAAATAGTGGAGTGTTCCTTTAATAACTTGATGACTCTGATGTGGAGCAGGAGTTTGGACAATAGAAACCAGCCAACGTATAAAATCTCCCATCATCTGTCCTTAATGTGCTGTAAATAAAAACTACAAGGCATTACAGAACTAAATGCAAAATTTATTGCGCCACATCAGAAACATGGTGGATGAACAGACATTATACACATAGTGGGCACAGGGTCCAATAAATATCACTGCAGGAGTCTCACTTCCAGGTGTATTCCTCACCAGGCTTCAGTTCCCTGAAATCAGAAAGTTACAGATTCCAAAATAATTCATTTACAAAGACACGCTCTGGTTTTAAGACATCTTTATAAGAAGTCGTGTGACCTGCTGTATAAAGCACTCTTGTTCCTGAATGCTGTGAGTTTCTGGTCATTCCATCGGTCCAGATAAACCCCGATGACGAAACCCAGAGGGACCAGGATATTGACCCAGTGCTCACGAACTGCTGCTGCGAAGTTCACCATGATGCCTGTGATTAAAGAAAACAGTAACACTTTACAATAAGGTTCCAATAGTTAGTGTTAGTTAATGTATTAACAAACATGAACAATGCATTTATTACAGTATTTTTGTTAATGTTAGTTAATGAAAATACAGTTGTTCTCTGTTCGTTCATGTTAATTCACAGTGCATTAACTAATGTTAACAAGCACAACTTTTGATTTTAATAATGCATTAGTAAATGCTGAAATTAACTAAGATTAATAAACGCTGCAGTATTGTTCATTCTTAGTTCAAGTAAACTAAGTAGTTAACTAATGAACCTTATTGTAAAGTGTTAGCGAAAACATAAATGAAGTTGAATGAGTAATGCCTTCTGCTTAAATGCTATAAATAATATAATAAATAATGAATTGTGGCTCGTAAGTCTACACATGTCAGTATATATGTGATTATGTCAGTTATGTGGAGTCAAAACATCAAATAGTCACAGCAATTCTGCAGCATTCATTGATCTGTCTACATAAACCTAGTCTAACCGTATTAATATCTACTGACTTAAATAAAACATCGAAGTAGAAATGTCATAACAAAAGCAATCATCACATTTATAAATGTTTGTGTTGATGTGAAGGTGACTGCTCTGGGCCTGCGTCCACACTATCTGCTACTGTCCTCACATAAACACGAGATTTTAATCCCATTGCGTCAGCAGAAAACTCTTATAAACGTTTACTTAACTTTAATACTCACAATTAAGCATAGAACACGTTTATTAATTGAATATATATAAATTTAAAGTCATTTACCTTCCGTTAGTTTCCTCTGTGCGTTATTAGCACAGCAACATTAGCAGGACTGTACCAACTATCAAGGGGAGGAGCTACAATTTTCCTTTCCACAACATTGAAACGTATAAATGTAATTGTTTTAAATATGCTACATTGATATAGGTGATATATAATAATAATTAAAAAAAAAACATTTCAAAAATTCTAATATGTTTTGTTTTGTTTTTGACAGTTTGATAGTAGAAATGCTGAATAAGTATTACCATTACATCCAGACATTTTTCTTTTATACTTTTCTCGTACTTTTCTCAT